TCTCCCGTACAGGTACGGACGTGACGATGGTGGCGTGGGGCACGCAGGTGTCACACGAGTCTCTCTCTCTCTCTCTCATGCTCTCTCTCTCTCTTTCTCCCGTACAGGTACGGACGTGACGATGGTGGCGTGGGGCACGCAGGTGCACGTGTTGCGTGAGGTCGCGCGGCTCGCCCAGGAGAAGCTGAACGTGTCGTGTGAGCTCATCGATCTGCAGACGCTCATGCCGTGGGACATAGAGACCGTCGCTGAGGTGAGTCACAGGCACAGGTGAGTGACCATGAGTCACAGCTGCAGGTGAGTCACGGGGGCAAGCGAGTCACAGGCGCAGGTGAGTCACAGGTGCAGGTCAGTGACCATGAGTCACAGCTGCAGGTGAGTCACGGGGGCAGGTGAGGCACAGGCACAGGTGAGTGACCATGAGTCACAGCTGCAGGTGAGTCACAGATGCAGGTGAGTCATAGCTGCAGGTGAGTCACAGGTGCAGGTGAGTCACAGGCACAGGTGAGTCACAGGCGCAGGTGAGTGACCGTGAGTCACAGCTGCAGGTGAGTCACAGGCACAGGTGAGTCACGGGCGCATGTGAGTCACCACAGGGAAGCTCCGGTGTGACCAGACGCACCGTGGCTGACACGTGGGGTCGCTGAAACCTGGGGATTCAAAAACCTGGGGTTTCTTCCGCTAAAAAATAAGTCTCGGCATTAGTGAAGCTAACGTTAACTTTTTTATCGGAACTACATCGAGAAGGTGTGAAGATAAAAAGAATGTGTAGACCTAAGGAGATTTCTGAGAGAACACTGCTCTTCCTCTCTCTCTGAAAGAATCACAAACACCGTTCTTCCTCTCTCTCCGAAAGAATCACAAACACCGTTCTTCCTCTCTCCGAAAGAATAACAAACACCTTTCTTCCTCTCTCTTTCCCGCCGCACTACTCATTTACTTCCCTCGTTTTTTTAAACATTTCGCGCACGTGAGGGCGACTGTGGGAGGAGAGAGAGAGAGAGAGAGATCGGTGTTTGTTTATTATTTTGTTGTTGTTTGTTATTCTTTTTAGAGGGTTTTTAGCTTTCGGGCATCGATGCGGTTTGTATGACTGCGGGAGGAGGGAGAGAACTGATGTTTTTTCGTTTGTTGTTTACATTTCACGCGTGCGAGAGCGAGCTACCACAACTAAAAAATACCGTTCTCTCTCTCTCCGCCCACAGTCGGTCTGCAAGACGGGGCGCCTCCTGGTGGCGCACGAGGCGCCGCACACGTCCGGGTTCGGGGCAGAGATCGCCGCGACCGTGCAGCGCGAGTGCTTTCTCAACCTGGAGGCCCCGATCGAGCGCGTGTGCGGACACGACACGCCCTTCCCGCACGTCTTCGAGCCGTTCTACAACCCCGACAAGTGGCGCTGCCTGGAGGCCGTCAAGCGACTCGTCAACTTCTGAGCGGGAGCGGGAGACGATTTTTCCGACGATCGTCGGTCGTCGTCGTGTTTTTGACGTGTCGACGCTACCGTTCGGTACGGCGATGTGTCGTCGCTACCGTTCGGTACGACGATGTGTCGTCGCTACCGTTCGGTACGAATGTGTCGTCGGAACCCGCGCTGCGGTTTCGCTGCATGCATGCCACGTTTTGATGTCATCACTACACGCGCGCACATCGTCGTCATGTTTTGATGATGTCATCACTACACGCGCGCACATCGTCGTCATGTTTTGATGATGTCATCACTACACGCGCACACATCGTCGTCATGTCGCGTGCGTGACGTCATCG